ATTATAAAACTATTTTTATTTAAAATACACGAGATATTATCATAATGATACTATTTTGGACAACAATTTCAATTAGAAATTATGTAATCACGATGTTGGTTTCTTTAGTACACAAATTCAATGCTTGGATTCCAAAAAAAATTTACACTTTGTACATTTATGAAAAAGTGAAAAAATTACCCTTTAGTACACAAGTTGAGTGATTAAATTGAAAAAAAAAATTAAAAGTACAATGAGTGAATTTGGAGAGAGATTAAAGTTGAATGATTAATTGTGTAATTTACCCTTTGAAAATATGGGAGACGCATGAAATGCAATGCGTCTCCCATAATTTTTAGGCTAAATTACATAATTAATCATTCAACTTTACTCTCTCTCCATATTCACTCACTATACTTTTAATTTTTTTAATTTAATCACTCAACTTTTGTTTTACTCCTATTTTGATCACTCATCGACCATTGTTCAAGTTGTTATATGGAAGCCAATTTGATCCATCAGCTCTAACATTGAATTTGTGTACTAAAGAAACCAACATCGTGCTTACATAATTTCTAATTAAAATTGTTGTCCAAAACAGTGCAGTTGTATTTAATTAATTTGGAGTGAGAATAAAGTTAATGATTGATTGTGTAATTTACCCTTTGTACATTTACGTAGGAATGAAATTGGCAAAAAAAATTGCACTCCATGCGTCTCCCCTAAATTTATGTATAAGTCGCTTAGACTTCAATACGTCTTCGGGTTTACTGTAGCATTCACTTTATTTCACGAAATAATTTCCAGAGTGCCCTATTCGAACAAATTTTTTTTCAACTGCATTATTTGAAAAATTCAGCCGTCTGAAAATGGAGGAACAGACCGTCCTACAAAAGTCCATGAAGTGGTTAGAAGATCGATCAAAAGGAAACATAAAGCAGAAGCTAGAGGCACTCACCCTCAAAGGACTGCGAATCGTCCACGCCCAAGAGCGTTGCATACGCTGCAGTTTCGTTGTTCCCAGTCGTACATTAGTAAAAACAACAAATATTCTCAATCTCCTTTCACTTCTACAGTTATACATGTATATATATATATATATATATATATATGGTCAAGATAATAAGATGAGGATGTAATTTATCCATAGGATCCAGATGGGAATTGGCATGTCGGAGCCATGGCAACGTTGATCGACGACGTTGCAGCTGCTGCTATTTACTCCGTCGTCGACCATGTCAAAGTCTCCCTTGATTTCAGCATTTCGTTTTATTCAACGGCCAAGATTCAAGACAGTCTTCTAATATGATGAAATTTTAAGCTGTTTCGTTTTGTTTGAATTTGTGGGTTTTGGTTTTAATGACGCCGGAAGAAGTGGAGATAGAAGCAAAGGTGGTGGCGACCAAGGGAAAACTTTCACAGGCGGTGGTGGAGATTAGAAGAAACCGAAACGGAGACCTAATTGCTTTAGCTAAACAATGGATGGACACTCATAAAGCAAGTGTTAAGCCATCCCAAGTTAGTAAAATTTGAATTCAAATGGCAAAATAACTTCTTTTCTCTTCTGGGTTTTGGTTCAAACTAATGATTTCTTAACATTTTTCTTTGAACTCATAATAAATTTTGAAGAACCGAAAGAAACATTTATAGTCATTCCTAACACATCTGCAGGTAGATCTCACCTAACCATCTTCTTTTGGTTTTTTGTTTCTTTATCTACCTTGGCCAAATTATTTTTTAGTCCCTCTACTTTAATTAAGTTCTACTTTCATGAAGATATTAGACGATACAAGTAATTGTTGATGTTAAAGTGATGACATATGTTTTGGCAAAAACAATAATTTTAAATATTTAGTTAACATATGACTTTATAATTGATTAAAGACGATTGATCGAATTTTTATATAATATGACAGAATAATAGGTAAAGGGATTATATAATTACTTCAATAATGCTAACTATAAGTGTTATTAATTTGAACCTATTATTAACTTTAAAGCGATGGAATTAAATATGCCAAATTAAAGATGCTATATCACAACTTTGTAGTAAAAGGACTAAAATAAAATTAAATCTTCTTAATTCATACATATATCAACAATTCTGATAACATTCCTACGTGGCAATAGATAATGTTGACAAGTGGTATGCCTATTTGAAAGATAGATTAGCAACTAAAACATGTTTGACAGTTGCTGACTTTTTGTGAAAGATGACACATGTATTCTAATAAAGATTTTCATTATATTTTTCTTCATGTTCTTTAAAATTTTATGTTGAGATTCTGTTATATTTATTTAATTAAAATCTAGTTTTATTTTTTTAAAAAAAGGTAATTAAAAGTAATAACTGTTCTGGTGATTGTTGAAGGACAAATATTAGGCCAACAGGCCCAGAACCGGTTCAAGTCAAACCATGAACTTGTGGCTCCGAAAGCAGTGAGTTGGTAGTGGTGATGCAAGAAACAACGTCAGGCTTGCGAGGGCAGTAGAGGATGAAAGCGGGTTGACCCGCCCCGAACCGCCCATGATCAGTGCGTAAACTAAAAAGGTGGTCTAGAAAGACCCACCCAAAGCCATGGGGGGTCCATTTTAGCATATTCGACCGGGTCTGGTGAGTGGTCTGGCAGTACTGCCACCGGGTCGCTCGTATTTCAAGCATTCCTTTCCAGTTAGATCTGGCAAAGAAACAAATAAGGATTGCCATAATGAGTACTCATGGAAAGTTCTCCTTTATTATTCAAATATTTATTAATTCTTATGAGGGACCAAAATGCATTCTTTCCATTATTAAAGGGTTAATAGAGATTAAATTAAACTGGTTAAATTTCAAAAGGACTAGAATGGCAAAATCACCGTTAACAGGGGGTTAAGAGTACCCTACCTTCCCTGTGATGCATATATAATATTGAAATTTAGGTTGGAACACTTATAAGCATACCCTAACACCCATTTATGAACACATAGCTAAACTTTTATTTTAGTATTTTAGGGAAATGGTTATTCTTATCCACATATATAATTCATGTCATCATGTGTTTTCTTTACCTTTTTCAATTTAAATATTTTATGAAGGAAGAAAAATAACAAATCATAACCAATTTTAAAAAGTGAAAGAAAATGTGCACCAATCATAAATTATTAACCTAAATATACACGTGGCTCTGTATTTTAGCATATTTTTTTAATAATAAAGTTGGTAGAGGTCAATTATTAGGATTATATAATGATGATGATTACATTTATGTGTATAAATAGTTCTAGCTAAAGATGCCTTGAACCAAGAGCATAATGAAAAGGTGAAAAGAAGGGAGAAAAAAAAGGTATAACTTGAATGGTACACATGGGGTGTACTCTCATTGTCAAATGCCTAATTATTGTCAAATTGTAAAGTTTGTTTTAAGTGTGTGAAAGAGTTCCATGCCAATGTCCAATGTTCAAGGGGGATAATTATTTATTTATTTTTTCCTTTTTCTTTTTCACCACCATCATTGCATTTTCAACATTGCTTTTCCCATTCAATGAGATTATTCAATGCTTTTCATATTTCAAATGGTAAAGATTATTGCTTTGGATGGGGATATATGCACATAGTTCTCTTCATGTAACTTGTAAATAAAGTACTCTTGATTTTTCATATTTTTTTTTAAAAAGTAAATAAGATAAAAAAATTATTAAACATATAAAAATAGTGATACTTAATAAAACTAAAATATTGTGAAATTCAAGTAACATGATCTGCAAAATACAAATCTATATATTGCTTGTGTACTATATGAGTGATAGGCTTCATAATGAATTTCATCCTTTTTGTTTAGCAAAAGTTAGTAAATTAGTTGAAATGTTGATTTTTTCTAATTATAATTCATATAAATTATTAAAAGGTTAAGGGTTTCAGAAGTCTTTAAACTTTTTTTAAATCAATTAAATATAAAATGATATAAGTGGTCAAATAACTTAATTATGAACGAAATACGAAGGTTTAAGACCTAGTCTGAATCACCACAGTGACATGAGTTGGTTAAGTGAGTATTTTTACTTCGTAAAGTTATTGATATGTCTCATGAACGTCTCTATGTCACTACCTAATTATTTGAGTGTCTCTTTTATTACCGAGAATATAAGAAGAAATTAGGCTACGAGGATGACTCGGGTAATTATAATTAATATATTTACAAAGAATTTAGATAATTTTACATTGAAATCAGTGATCAAATCACGAATTAAATTTTATAATTTATCTTAACTAGATACATTCTCATCATACTAACGAGTGCTGGTACAAGTGATTGAGATTCAAGAATTTGTGTTTGTAAGGTCAAGTTCAAATCCTACTATCGTCACTCGTAGTAGACAATCTGTATATGTCTTAGCCTTGGTTTGGAAAGTCATCCCTGACCTAAACTTTTATGTATACATTATCATCATTGGATTCTAATTTATTTTCAATTGTATTCTTTTTCATTAAACCTTTTAATTTGATTCACATTACACAAAACTCCCGATTTTTGCTTATTTATTTCATAAAATTAATTTAGCATCTCTCTTCATGGATTCGATCATGTTTATTACTATTGTAAAGTTTAGCATGATATTTTTTGGGGGCTTCGACACATGTTACCGGTTTTCAATTTAATAAACAAACATAATTTTAGGTTGATTCGATTAGTTAAACGAATTGAATCGAGGGTTTACACAATTTAAATTATCAATTATGTAATACTATATATATATGTATCATAAATATATTTAAAATAATAAATAAGTTGATTTTATCATTCAATTCATTTTCTAGTTTTAAAAATTAAAATTCGACCACCAATAAAAAATCATTAGAACAGATTAAATTAATTAAAAATAAAAACCTAAATGGGTAAATTATTCTAATTTTGTCAATCATAACAAAAAGTTGCTCACCTTTACATTTGTGTGCATTACCAACATTTTTTAGAAGAATAAAAATAGAAGTGAACTTCTAATATAGATGAAGCAATGTCATATATCTCAAAGGAAAGGAGAACTAAAATACAAGCTATCCGACGTCAATAATAATAATAAGGGAGAAAAAAAATACAAGAACGATTGATATTAGCTACTTTGGAATGCAATAGCATCATGAGCAATCAGCCTTATGATTTTCAGCAGAGTGACTGCTCATGATGTTATATCATTCCATCCCATTAAGCCATACTTTTAACACATACATCCTTAAAAGCCACCGCCCCCGAAAGCCGGCGGCGCCCAGTAATCGGCACCGTTTTCGCTTCCGACTTGTTGGGTGCAAGACACGGGAACCAAGCACAGCCCTCTACTCCTCAAGTCCTTTGGCTGATGCTCTTGCTTTTCCTGTTGTTATTATCATTGTTATCAAACAGATGAACAATTCTAAACATTATAAAGGCATAATAATTGCAGTAATGATGATGATGATTCATGCTTATGATAAATAATTACAGTATAAATCATCAATTAGTCAAATGCAAGAGAGAAAGGCTTCATGGTTAAGGAGCCATCTCCCTTTTACTTTTCTCTTTTTCTTACTTTCTTTTGTTCCTTTTTAGATTACTTATGCAGTTCTAAATTATGCTTTTGATCTTAACTTTTTTTTATCAGAAAAATCACTCCTTTTATTCACTTAAATGTGTTTTTAAAGCTGAGAAGCTTGTTCTTTCAATGCTTTCCTTTATAAAATAAAATAATAGTTCCAAAAACATAAAGTGCTTTCCCATCTATTCCATCCCTCTTACTTTGCCTTTGTGAGGTGATTGATCCAATAAAGTTTTTACCTGTCCTTCGTCTTCAGGAAATGCACAACTCCTTTCCCCTTGACCCTAAAAAAATAATCATCCATTAACATTAACCTACTTCTAAAATATTTGAATCTAGATTAATCGATTAATGAATTGAATACGAGACGTTAACACCGTAAGGTTACTTACATATTGTTGGTTTCTCATGTTTGGAGTTGCAGTGCCCATGTAAGGGGAGCTAAGAGCCTGCATTTTCATGACTTCCATAACCAAAGATGATATTTTGAAAGAAGGAGAAAAAAAGCATGAAGCATTGAAACTTTAAAACTATGTAAGTGAAGATGTATGCTTGCTTTCTTCATACTGATTTCTATAGAGAGCATGTTGAAGAAACATCACCTCAATTTGACCCTGAAGGAATCTGATATATCCGATAGCTTCCAACAACACAGATGCTGTGTCAGTCTGCAAAAAACACAAACCTTCAAATCTCAGGTTTGCCTTAATGTTAAAAGCCAACACACCAGAATGAAAAGAAGAAGGTAAAAAAAGTTATGATTCCAATAGTAAAAGCTTTGTTTGTTCACGTTAAAAACAACACCATAAAGAGGAGAAATCTTTTTATGGGTTTTATCATAGAATAGAACTGCTTCTGCAAAAATGCAGCATATATAATATATAATATTATTGTTTGTGTAGGTGATGAAGGAGGATTAAGGGAATTTTTGTGTTTACCTTTCCAAATGGGGAAACTAACTGGTGAAGTGCTGTTATTCTATCACCAAGCTTCTCCTTTCTCACCTGGATTTATACCATATAAATACACTGATTAGGTGCTTTGAATTTATTATTATGGGGTCTGATAAAAAAGAATAAGACATGGTTGAAAGTGGACAATCAAGAACGACATATATGTATGCCATTAACGTCGTAGGCAGACAACGCACAAAAGCACAAGCACCTAGAATCAAAAGAGAAAGGAAAGAAAGATTCTGTGTGTTTTTAATACTTTTAAAGGCGGTTGGCTTGAAGATGGTTGAACCCTAGCCTTCTTCCACGCCCCACCACCTGTGATGCTGCCTTTCCTATTACACTGCCAAAAAAAAAAGAAAAAAAAGAGATAAATGAGATGAACACGAGTTTAAGATTATCGTGTAGTCTGATTAATGCATTAAAAATGGTGACTTTTTACCTCAGAAGAATGGTCTGGGGGAGGTTGAGTATTGGAGTTGGATCCATCAGCCGCCATGTTGTTATAAGAGAAATCTAACATGTTGCTGCTTGAGCTTGTAATACAAGACCTGGGGCTTGGGGAGGAAACCGACATGATTTGGGACCATGCGGCGGCGGCGGCGGTGGCAGGTGGAGGAGGAGGTCTAGGTGGTTGAAATTCTTCATTGGCGTGATGACCGTACAAGTTACTATGTTGATGTTGCTTTAGGATTTGGTTCTCCCAATTTTCCAACTTCTTCGGCAGGAAAGTACCCAGGCCGTCGTACCGGTCTTCTTCTCCGGTGACACCCCTAGAAAGTAAAAACCACCAAACCCCATAATCAACAACCATATAAAAGCAAGTCAAAGAGACAAAGTCGAGAGAAAAAAAAAGCTCACAGGAGAAGTTGGCCCCATGATTGAGGAAGCTGTTCTTCATGGTTATCAACCAAAGAAGAAGAAGAAGATCCAACAACATATTGAGGGAAGATAGATGAAGACGATGGAGTACTCGTTAACAAAGCCGAAGGATGATGCAAATGCATGCTCCACCAGCTAGGGTTTCCTTCCACCATTTGTTTACAAAATCTCTTAAAAAACAAACTTTAATTCAATTTCATATCCCACTTATCCTTCCAAAAAAACAACTAAGTTCCCCACAAGCACAAGAAAGAAGGAAAAGATAAATGATCTTTTTTTTCTCTTCACTTTGGTGAGTTTCCTTGTTTATACACCCAACCAACCAAACAGTCCTTTGTTAAAGAAAGCTTTATCACCAGTCCCCTCGGCCCTTTTGTTTGTTTTCCCAGATGAGGATGAAGAAAACTTTAAAGGAATTTTTTTATATATATACAGGGGTGGGGTTGGGGAGCCTTTGCTCCTTTATTTTTTTCATTCATTCTTTCATTTGTTTATAGTATTCTTTTTTATTCTTTGCTTTTGCTTTATTATAAAGTGGGGTGTAGAAAAAAAAATAAAAGGTAGTGGGGGAGTATTTTCAGTCCTCTACCATCTTATTATTTCCTTGATTTGGGGTCCTCCCTATTACCTTGAGATTGTTTTAATTTTTGGGGTCTTTAGTGCTAGGTTAGGGTATATAATGATGCGTTTCCTATTTTGTTGCAAATTATTTGTAATAAGAGTCACAATAACATGGAAATGAGTGTGTAAATACTCGTGTATATTAGTTATAGATGATAGATGCTATAAATAATTTATATTATTTAAGTCTTATTGATATTTGTTGTGGAATGGAATGGATTATCACATTTAGGTATTTTTATAAGGAGACACGATGGAGAAGAGTTAAGGTGAAATGATTTCATTTGGGTTTTATTTCATCTATCGATTTTGCTCGAGAGGTTTTATAGTGACCCTTAGTGTTAGTGTCAATCGTAGGATCGTCATGACTACACGTAGAGGTAGATACGATAAATTGATGGTGGATTCGGCTCTGTTAGGTCACATGGGCATGTCAGAGGTCGTGTCAACAGGTAGAGATTTCTTGATGGACGTTAAATGTTCGAGATTCCTCTTTCGAATGCATTCTTTGTCTTTAGAAACTCCTTAGGTGTAGGTAGATACGATATCTCCTGCAGGATCCATTTGTTAGCCTGGTTTCATACCTTGGTATCAGTTATCATGGTTTCCCTATTATTATGCAATTATCAGTTCAATTCAGCATACAAAATCAGTACTTTTAAATTTGAATATATACATTTACGTAGTGCTTCAGACATTCTAAAACGATGATAATAGTATCAAAGTAAACACTAGTGGAGAAAATTTAGGAACCGTCAAACCAACAGTTGCATCATGTTTATCTTATTTTATTGTTTGGCATTGCTAGGTTTCACACATGCTTCCAAGATGGAAGTGGGATTATTGGTATTTATTAAATATCAATTTAATCAACACATTTTCAACATTTGCCTATTTAGTCCTCAGATGATTAACTCTCATTCTCACAAGCTAGATTTAGTTCATTTGATTGGTAAGTGCGTGCATGATTATTTTTCCTTTAGCATTCATCACCTTCTTTCTCTAGAAGTTTGACAGTATAGATGATCAATCCTTTTAAGACTTTCAAGTGGGTATCTTAATCCAATAACGTTTGTTCTTTCCCTTTCGAGCTTTATCAATTAATCACTAGAAAATTTAGAAATTTGGTATTGCATCTTTATTTGTGATAGATTAAGATTTGTATTTGACATCAAAAAAAACATTTTATTTTTAAAAGAAAATTACTAAATTTTTGTTGACTTCATGAACACTTTTTGGTAATTACAATTTTGATAGTTTTGTAATAATCTTACAGTTAATAATATATATTTATTTATAATATAAATTACGCGTTTAGTACCTAAATATCAGTTTTGGTTCGTTTTAAGACCTAAACTTTCAAAAAATTTAAAATCATACCTAAAATTTAGTTATTGTTTCATTTTAGTATTCGTTCAAAAAATTTAACGTTAAGTTTGAAAATTTTGAAAGTTTAAATACTAAAATAGGTCAAAATTGATAGTTTAGGTAATAAACTCGTTAAGTTTTTAACGGCGGGGTACTAAAGTGAAATGAAAACTAAACGTTAGGTATGATTTTGAAAAAAATATAAGTTTACGTACTAAAACGAACCAAAACTGATAGTTGAAGTACTAGATGCGTAATTTTTCCATATTTATATGATATTTTTGAATTTATATTTTTATTATGTTTATTTTTTTTTATTTCTTCTTATCTTATGGTTATATTTTCTGTGTTAATCTCATTTTTTTCATTCAATATTTGAAAAGATAAGGTCTCGTGAAATAATAATTTTTTTTTTGAAGTTTTGGCCGTAGCGGTCATTGTGGTGAGTTACCAATTGTATTTACAAATGAAATCATTATTTTTAAAATTTTATTTTTTATAAGCAGAGATAACTATATTCTCATGATATTTGTCATTATTCGAATCTATAGATAAGATAACATGAATAATTAAACATTCTTAATCACTCGATCAATTAATTTTTCTTTTTTTTCGTTTAAGGTAACATAACAGCATCTAATGACATACAGTAGCATTGAAGCATAAAATAAAGGTAAAAATACTGAAAATAAAAATCTCTGGAAACAAAGAAAGAAAGAACGAAATTAAAGAAACAAAAAACCATGTTGCCAAAATTTATCAAGGAATTTTTGGAGTCCTCAATTGTTTAATTTATAGGTGAAGAAGATGGAGAAAATGGTTTTATTTTTTTGGGTTAATTAACTCTAAGTCCCTTAAATTATATGAATTGAAAAAAATTGACAAAAAATAACACATAAGAATGGTTCACGTATCCTTAGACGTGTATTAAATACTTTAAAGGTATACTTATTTTAAAAATAGACTATCACATTGAAAGATTTGCTAAAGTATAGGGGACAACAGTGTTATTATTCCTTTTAAAAAACAAATTGGGGATTGGTATTTTGGTATTATTTATTGAATAAACTATTTTTAAGGATTTATTTAATAATATTGGCAAATATATATATTTTTAAATTTAATTTAACATGGGAAGGAACGAAGAAAGAAGCAGATGTATACGCAGCAGACAATCTTTTGAGTGATGAAACCGTGTGTAATTTTTTTTATGTAAATATAAGATGCTAGTTTTATTAATAAAAGGCAAATATTCAAAATTATAACGAAAATTTATAATCACAATTATAAATTAAATATATAATTATTACATTTTTATAATTATTGACACTAGAAAGTATTTACAATCATAATTGTAAACTAAAAACGTAATTATAATACTTTTTATAACCGTTAACACAAGAAACTAACCACTTAAGATCACACAAAGACCATACAATAAAAAAGTGAAAGATTTATCTGAAAGATTTTAACGAAATATTGATGCGAACATATCTAATTGTATCAACAAACAAAATACAACATACGATCAAACTACAGAAATACCACTGAAGATCGCAAATCAGAGTTGAGAAGCACGAGAAAATTATCTCTGAATGCAAACTATGTATCCAAATCCAATCCGATGGTCCAAAATAGGAAATATCAACCTTATTCAATCGAGGTAATGTCGAATTCAATCATGAACAAATTAAACAAATCAAACAACCAAACGAACAAATCAGTTATCAACGGTGCAGATACACACTATCCCTATCCCCGTTGGTTCATTGCATGGTAGCTTGTTTGTCTGAAAAACATGACATGTTCTTTTGTTTCTTTTAGCTAATTTGTAAGAACATAAAAATATCTCCATAATTCTGTTTTTTGTTTTCTTTTTCCACTTAATCAATAACTGTATACTCTGATGTTTTTATTAATGACGTTCTTAATGAAATGATGGAAATGTCAATTTCAGGACTGGGGAGGGCTTCAATTATTTATGACTACAACCAGAGTCCATGCTTGTTGAATCAAACCATATAATTGACACAAAGAAATTAAAGACAAGGAAATTCCAACAATATTATTACAAGCAATTTCGAATTATATATATATATATATATAAAGGATAAGGTCAATCAAATATCAAACTTGAAATTAGTGTCGCACGAACTGAACGACCTTAAAGGAATTATGATTATTTCTTAAAATTTTGGATTCGAGCACCAGGAATAATAGATGGCTTATATATACCCCAAGTTAATAAAAAGAAAAAAGTAATCAGTGTCACACTTGGAACAAATTTTTCATCATTTATACCAAGTTGAGCCTAAAACTACTACTCTACTAGGTGTCACCTTTGTATACATATATGGATCGAAGGAAGTTGGCGGATGTTTGCCCTTTATAAAAGTTTTAAATTTTTATATAATTTGTTTATTTATCTTTTGATAATTTTCACCCTAAAATTTATAAATAAATTTATAAGTTTATCTCTTAATCTAAAATCGTGTGTCAGTCCCAAGTCCCTAAATGCGTGAGTCTAAAATTAGGCCATACCCAATTTTCTACTTGCACCCCTTGATTGAAGGATTTACGTGCGTGCAACAAGAAATTGAACTCTATACATGGTGCAGTGCAAATGAAATCTAAGTTCATGGTTCATGGACTATAAGTAATCAATATTTTAGGCTGTAAGGGTTGCATGTCTGCCTGAAGAAAAAAAACCCAGCAAAGATCTGCCGAATTTTCCCTGTTTGTTATTTGGTAAAGATGGTACCTTTTTTTGTCTTGATTCAGTTCCCCCATGAATTATAACCAAAATGTTTCATTATTTCTCCATGAAACCAAGTCTAAGTCCATAACTTCTGCTGATACAGTTAAGAATCCTCCCAAGTTTGGATTTCTTAAAATGACTACTGTTTTAGATCAAACAAAGAGAAATCGATTAGTCATTTTAAGAAAAGGAACTTTGAAGGAAAGATAGTGGTAGCAATTTGAGGTATTCAAAATGAATTCCATATGCTTCATAAACAAACTCAACTATATCATCGCTGTTCATTGAAAGAAACAAAGATTGATGGAGAGAATGAATGAAATCAAATTTGAATATATTCAGTGTATGCATGTGTCTGTATATATAGAATTGCTTACATCAAGGCCAAAGAAGCTTATTTTTCTATATCATGAAAATCCAGCTCTTCCCATAGCCTAACCAGACAGTTTCTGCAGATCTTCTGTTGACTGTCTCAAACTCTGATGTCTACACCTTTGGAACGAAGCTCTGAGAAGATATTATCTTCTTCCTACCCTTCAGTTCAGTCCATTGAAGAAAAAACCAGAAAAACAACCAATAATACTTATCTCAATCTCAAAGAAACTGAGCTGAGGCTTGGTTTACCAGGTTCTCACGCTCCTCACAGAAAAATCTGCCTTTTTGGCAAAGATTTACAGAGCAATGATGATAAAAGTAATGGTTTTGCTGTTAGCCCTTTCAAGAACCTGGCGTCTGGAGCCAAAAGGGGTTTCTCAGTCGCCATTGAAGAGGTGCCTGGTGTTCCTTCAGGTGCAAGGTATGTTCATCTTCAAAAAGCCTTCTTTCTTTTTCTTCCTTGTTTTTCAATTTATGGAGCAGGATTTGTGAAACAGGGTACTGGTGGTAGGATGGCCGCCGGTTCGATCATTCCGGAAGAATACAATGGCCAGCGATGAGGCCACCGCGGATGGAGGCGATTGCCAGTATGTAAAGGTGAGCATGGATGGAGCACCATACCTGAGAAAGGTGGACCGGAAGACGTGCAGAAGCTACGTGGAACTCTCATCGGCTTTGGAGAAGATGTTCAGCTGTTTCACCATGTCTGAATACGTGGTCACTTATGAAGACAACGACGGTGATCGGGTGCTTGTCGGCGATGTTCCGTGGCAGTAAGAATCTACGTCCTTCGGTATATAAAAGAAGAATGATGTTAATTGAAATAAAACTCAATCAGTGTAATATTTTGTTTTAAGTACAATTATTCATATCTCTGATAGTATTCTATCTATGTTTTGTTACTCAGGATGTTCACCGATTCATGTAGGAGAATAAGGATTACGAAAGGTACTAGCTCCAAGGGCCATGCAGAAATGCAAGAATCGTAGTTAATGCACAAGGATAAACTACAAAGTGTTCAGAGCCCCTAAATTACACAGATTTATGTTGGGAGTTATCTTTAGTTTTTTGTATTTATTGTTATGCCAGTTTAACACGGGGTAAAATATATTATGGGTTATTTAATTATATGTTTATTAATAAATGATTAAATGAATCATTAGAATTTATAAAGTGGTTTCAAAAATAAATATCTTTTTGGATGATTCGAGTTTGAGCAACTGCAAAAAAATAACATAAAACATTATACTATTTTTAGAAGAAGTACAAACAAATTAGAAGAATAAAGAGTGAAAATGGTAGTTTTCAAATATGAATGATTAAATTAATTGAATTAGAACAAATTGACAGGTTGTTTACGTTTTGATCATTAAAATTATTATGATACCAATTCACATTACTATTTATCTATTATTAAATATTCAATGATCTATTTATAATAATAATTTAATTGAATAATAAATTTATAAGTGAGATAAGACATGCTTTAATATTTTTAAAAATAAAAAAAATGAATAAGCTTATTTATAATTAGAAAAATTAAAAACATGTTAAGTTGTGAATCTAAAGCTAAGCGCGGGTCACAAATGTTTGAGGAGAAAGCTACACAATTTCAAACATTACTTTCTCATTAGGACAAATCAACAAGTCCTTTGTGAGAAGTGAAAAACATTGATTCTCTCACCAGTAAATTACATTGGAAAGGCACCTGATCCTAAAATTTTAGGACAACATTTTTCTAGAAATAAAATAAAATAACAAGAAAATCATCATAACTTGCTAAGAAGAAAAGAAAATATTGGCACCTGTTTTCATCTACTGAAGTTAAATCAGATCTGATCCTGGAGACTTTCAAGATTCAGGTTCAGAAATTTGCAGATATACCATCTGTGTATATCCGTTAAATACAGATCTCTCCAGCCTATCTAAACCAAGCCGTTGAAACAAGCGATATCGACCATCTTCAACAATAGGAGGAGGTGCGCGGCCAGGATCATAGCGAGTTTGGTGGGTGAGAGATGGACCAGCCGTCGGTGGCAGCTCCCAATAAACATCAAGAATCGATTCAACGAACCTGCTGTTTTGAAAATGTTCGCCATAAGAGATTATGGTCTTATTGTGGTTAAAATTATCCCGCATCTCTCCTCTAACACCCCACCATGCCTCATGTGGCCCACAAAGTTCATCTGTATCCACAGCCTTCTCCCAGAATTTCTTTCTTTTCGATCGAATTCTGGCTTCATCGCTGTCCCTAAAGCAGCTATGGCCACCTCCTGAAAAAAAGAAAGCTTGTAATCAGGAACAGAACAAAAACAACCTCAGAAAGCAACAATTCGAATATATCGGAAATTAAGGGAGCTTATGAATGAAAGTCGAGGCTATATATTACAGACAAAATAAAAGAAGATAAAAGTGAATATGGGTCAAAAGCATGGCAAAAGAGGGGGGACACTCATAAACTGAGGAAGGAAAAAAGGGTGTGGAAGGAGCATCAACCTCTTATGTAGAACTGGTCACAAATCTGCCTCAATGAGTAATGATCTCCTGTCCCGGTATCATAATTGTCTTCAAAAACAAGATGACGAAAGCCAGCTTTCAATGCCTGCTTTAGCCTGTTCATGAAAGCACATCATAACGGAATAAGCACAACAACTCGAAAGTCAAAACTACTAAAGGTAAAAACCAATACATTAGGTAACCTTCAATCAGCTCAAGAAAAACCTAAAACTTGTAGAGGGCAAAAGATCATCAATGCATAGATGCATCAAGTACCTTTTCAGTTCATTTTGATGGTCATCAAAGAAGACAAGAACCCGGCTGAAATCAGAAATTCCACGAGCCTTTAGCACCTTCTCCCAATTAACACTTCCAAAATCCACAAAATCTTTTCCAGCAAAGTATGTGCAATTTTCATCAACATAAGCAGGCCCCTTTTTCAAGTACTTCTCGGGATGCCGGGGTGTGATCGAGATAATTGGTGTGTCGGGCATTGCTTGCCGCAGAACCCAAGTGGAATGTCCCTTGAACGCACCACTCTCAATCATTATATCTGGTTTTAGCCACCGGGCAATGAACCAAAGCCCAAAGCTGTGGTCAAAACCCATCCCATACATGTTGTTTTTTATTGGTCGAATTTCATATATTGGTACAAACTCCTCCAAGCCATTGATTAAATCTTTGGATGTCCATTCAACTGTTTTTCCATGTTTCGATCTGCCTTTTGCCAAGAATACAAATTAAACGGGCACAAACCATGCAAATTAAGAATCTAACACGCAATTGGGCCTTTAGCAAGAAATAAAATATTTAAATAAAAAGTCTAATCAAATTCCACCTTAAAAAATCCATCTTTAACACCATGAAAAACTTCCATAAAACAAGCGGAGGAGGATAACCAAGTTTGCAAATTTAAGAGGCGAAACATTGATAAAGGAAGTGGCCGCAATTTTGAGATGAGCAATTAAAATGCATATGATATAACAATTGACCACAAGGAAATTGAAAATTGGTTCTTGACTTCTCGTTAACATACAAAAATCAACAAAACAAGGTCGAATCTCTTATGAACCAATACAGATTTAAGAGTCAAGAAGAGCATATTCAAATTAATTCTTAACGATCTTTCAATGAAAATGTAAAGTTTTAGCCAAATTTTGACAAAAGATGAAACAAGTTCGAAATTATCAACCCACTTTCTTTATACAGTCCGGTGAACATTGCATCAAGAAATCAATTACACTAAAGAGATAGTTGCATGAAAAAATTAGTACAGAAGCTTATGCTTTTAGGAAAAGGCCTAATCTTTACATTTAAGCTTTTGATAAATGCAAAAGATGGAAGATTTAATAGTAGAATCAAAATTTTCAGGTATATAATTACAATCGAGAAGAATTATTGAACATTTTAATAGAAACAAACAAACTTCAGATCTAATAATCAATTAAGAAACGCCAAAGAAAAATGGAAAATGCAGCAATGCGACCTAACGGCTACATCATTCAGCTAGTGCAAAATGATGGAAGCAAAGAAACAAATAAAGGAAGATTACAGATCCGATCTAAAGCACATAAATACATCAGAGTAAGCAAGACTTACACCAAGGAACGCCAAGGGATCCGAAATCGGAGTCAACACCATCGAGACCAAATAGACTGACCCGAGAGATCGGGTCATAAGTCGAAACGCAAACGAAGGAGCGAGAGTTCAGCATCAAAGAGAAGAGCCCGAAAACGATGAAAATTAGGCAGAGAGAGAGGCAGAGGCACGGAGATTTGACAAGTCCGAAGCGGGAAATGTAATTAGTGGCCAAAAGATAGAGGTGAGGCTTCTTGGTTTTGGACTCGTCGTCAGAGAGAAAGGTGGGGGATCTGGGGATGGGAGATAAGGCGGAAGAGGAGGAGGCTACGGCGGCGGAGGAAGAGGAGGGGAAATCGAAGTCGGAGTAGGGCTGAGAGCGGCGGGAAGAGAGGGTCCGATCCATCATAATGGCGGTTGGGGATTTGGGGGACGAGAGAGAGTGAGATGCGGGGTGGGAGTGATTACGGGTACTCATTTTTTGGGAGCTATGTGGGGCTGCCTTCGGTGGGTTTTTTTATTTTTTTTACATTCAAAATTTCATCTAGATCGGTTAAAAAATATACATTATATATATATAACTACCAATCCATCAAAAAGAAAATAACTATCAAAATATCAAATATTGTTGTAAAAAAAAAAAAGGGTAAAGTATATAAATTATCAGTCAATTATAAAATATTATTTTGTTAAATTTCTTCAGTATTAAAAATTATTGAATATTAAAAGTTATAAAATAATTATATTATTATTTATTATATTTTAAATTTATCATTTTTTAAAAAATGACAATAATCTGAGTTGGATGTTGGGATGACAAACGGGCGGGTCGGGTGCGGATACCACCTCCTCCATCCCCATACCCACCTAATATTTTTCAATTCACCACCCGCCCACCACCCATGATGGGTACAAATTTTCAAATCCACACCCACTCACGCGGGTACATTTTCAAATCCATCCCCACACCCACTAGCGACATACCCATCTAGACCCGCCTGACAGCAAACTAATGGGATGTTGGAGTTGGTTCCCAGACAGTTCGTGATGGGGTAGCAACGTATGCTTCAATTTGTCAGAGGAGTGGCTCTACGAATGTTATTGAGACAAATTGTAGGGAGCATGTAGTCGCAGAGCTAGATTGTTGAGTTACTTTCGATGTTAATGCTCATAGTGCGTCTAATATGGGTTTTGAGGGGCTAAAGAACATGGAAACTGTTGCTTTTGATGTTAATGCATATAGTACGGCTAATTTGTGTTTGGATGGGCAGCATGGGCTAAAGAATATGGAAAGTGACGTGGTTAGTGGGATTATGGGTTTAATCAAAGAATCGAATATTTCCCTAATTAAAGACCAGATTAAAGACTAAATATCCTTAATATTTGGTTAAATTATATGTTATATATTATACAATATTAAAATTTATAAATTAGTCTCTAAAATTACATCTAAATTTATAATGGTCCAAAATTTAATAAATATTTAGCTGGGCGGGCGGATGTGGGGCAGGCGGATGCGGGGCGGGTAATGTCTCAAACCCATTACCCGCCCACCACCCACGACGGGTACCACTTTATAAATCCACAACCGTCCACTACCCGCTAAAATTATACCCATCCCCGCTCCAATTGGAGCGGATGCGGTGCGGAATCCACGAAACTGTACCCGTTTGCCATCCCTAGTTGGATGTTAATATGTTGTATTAGATATGATAAAATTCGATCTTCGAATCTCAAAAGACTATCATATTTCACATAGTAGACTAACATCCAGGTCAGATAGCCGTTAATTTTTACCAAAAAATGACGAGTTTGGAATATAATGAATAGCTAAATGATCATTTTATAACTTTTAATAGTCGAGTGACTCAATAAAGTAACATTATATATTCGAGGGACTATTTTATAATTTTTAATAGTTAAATGACTCAATAAAATAGTGTACTATAGTCGAAGGATCATTTGTGTGTTTTACCAAAATAATAATAAATTAATTGTACATTTAATAGTTAGATTTGATGTTTTTAATGTAATATTTATATATTTTTATTTTATTTTTATTTCATCAATATTATATATTAAATTTGATACTGTTTATTAGTGTACATTTAATTAAATCGTTACAAAATATTTATTTTTTAATGAAAATAATAATTAATCGATAATGAAAGAAGATAAAAAAAAGATATCAATTGACTTTCTTTTTCTTTTATTCTTAAGTGATCAGTTAAATGTATATTAAAAATATCAAATGTGTAATATTTATTACATTTGTGTATAAAATTAGACAAGAAATTCATCCACTAAATGATGGGTGCCTTATAAAGAAAACTATCCATTATTAATTGGTTTTTTATTTGTATTTTATGAATGTTTGGTAAAAAATTATAATAATACACTTAAAAATAAGATTTTTGAAATTATTATAATTTTTTTAATATGTACAAAGTATTAGTATCGATAGATGATATTATAAATATAAACTATTGATACATCGTTGTTTTGGGTGTACAAAAGGTGTTCAATCTATGCCCCATTTTTTAATTTAGTGCATAACATTTATTTTATTCCAATTTAGTGTCTAATGTTTAATTTTGTGACTCAAAATGGGTTCAATCGTGACAAACTGTTAAGATTAAACATTAACCCATTAAAAATATCACATGACATATTTTTTTAATATTATTCGTTCTTTCCATTTCTTCATTTGTTTGTTTATGGGTATTATCCCTTCTTTCCATTTCTTCTTCATTTGTTTGTTAATTTTATTGGTGGGATTCTAAGGGTTGATAATAATGGAATGAATCAGTTATGTGAGAACTAGGATGAGTTTGAAATAGTTGTAAATGACAAGTTTGAAGTTTATCAACTCATTTTTCTTTGGTTTCATTTCCTTATTTCTCTACAATAATATAAAACCACGAAGAAGAATAAATTCATGAGAAATCGTCCATGGTTCTGAGTGTTGGGTCATCATTGTGTTGAGTTAATCAAAGGAGTGGAACAAAGGAAGAAGAGGAAGAACAATGCGTTCTTGAATTCAATTTAGGGTTTTTGGGTGGAGAAGTGGAAGAGAGAAAAAGAAACGTTAGACACCAAACTAAAACAAAATAATTTCTTATTTTCAGAAATTATCTTTTAATATTAAAAAATATGTCATGTAATATTTTAATGGGTTAACAATCAAACTTAACGGTCCGTCACAACTGAACCTATTTTTAGTTACGGAATAAAACGTTAGACACTAAACTTAAAAAATAGACTGATTAGGCACCTTTTGTATATTTATCGCATTATATCTTCATTTCATTGGTCCATATACAGCTAAGAATGCATTATAATTTGTACAAACTATATTATTTTAATGGTTAAAAAATCATTATTATTTTTAGAGTTTCATATTATTAACTTAAATTATATATATATATATATATATAATAAAAGCACACATATCATTATTTCTTTCATAAACTTAGCTTGATTAACTTTTTCTTAGCTTAGAAATTACTAGGAAATTAGCAAATCTAAGTTCAGTATACCTTCACAAAATAGTTTATTTTTTGGTTCGTCAACTCATGTAAAATTTCACCATTCTCAGTTGTATATATATATCTCCAAAATTTGTCATCATGAGCATCATAGTAACAACACTCTTGAAACACATTGTTCACGTCAACCTGTCTCAAGCTCCATCCACTCGAGACAACAAGCGAAAGGATTACATTAATTGTGAACTTCATAACTGGATTGAAAGTATCCTGAAAATCAAAAAAAATCTTTATATACTAATTTGAGAGAACTGAGGGACCAAATATAAATTTAACCCTTTTATTTACCCCAACATTTTATCCTCTTAATCTTTTATATAAATCATTTCATTTCCTTAACCATCGTTTCCTTTACCTCCATTCTTTCATAATTTTCTGGGATAAACTAACCTATGATCACTAAGCTACTGGCTAAATTATATATTGAACACTAAACTAAAAGTTTTATGAATTAGATCACCAAACTTTCAATTTGGCTTCAATCAAGACATTGGTCATTAACTATTATCAGAACTATTGATATGACATATAAGTAAATTTTTATAATAGCACATTTGGTCCTTAATATTACAAATTCTATCAATGTGTATAATGGGTAAATAACGAGGACAAAATGTGTTATTATCCTATGATGACCAAATTTATAGAATGTGTAAATAATGAGAATCAAATATACTATTATATAAATTTCCTTAACTATCACAACAACAATTTTATTAACAGTTAATGGTCAACTATCATCGAAATTAAATTGAAAGTTTAATGACCTAATTGATAAAAAAAATTAGTTCAATAGCCAAAGTTTAATGAATTTGGAGGTAGTTTACTCTAATTTTTTTTATCCAAAACATAGTGTAAGAGAAGTCGAGAATTACCATTTTGATAATTACTACAAATTTATACTTTCTCCTTTTTGTTATTCTTTTCTCAAACTTGATGCAAGGAATTGTTAACAATCTTCATTGTTGAACTAACTTTATACTCTTTTTTTCATTCTTTGCTTAAAGCTGGTGCGCAAGGAATTGTTCAATAAAAACAATTCTATCACGGGAATCACTTCAACTAGTTCCATGCTTTGACGAACATAAGGATGACGAAGGCTGCAACAATGCAAGATTGTTAGGGGTTTCTCTAATCTGGAAATTGCAGGGATGTTGGAGATATTTGTTCAACGAGTTCAAATTGCTTAGAATCCTAGACCTTGAACAATCTTATGGTGATGCAGGATGTAAGTTACCAAGTGACATAGGCAATCTCATCCACTAGAGATTCTTGAATTTAGGAGCCTTTGATTTTTTTTACATCAATGATTCCATCATCTATAGGAACCTTGAGGTGTCTGCGAACAATTCCATCATCTTTAGGCAACTTAAAGTGTTTGCTGACCTTGGATTTAGGAAATTTTGTAAATCTCTTTTATGTATCCAACGTGACACGGAAGCTAGTACAGTTAAGACATCTGCATGGGCGACAAGACCAAGTTGTAGTTGAACACATTGAGAAACCTTCAAACACTCGTCAACTTCAACACACGAAAGTGTTTTGCTGCTGATCTTTCCAAGCCGAAAAATCTCAGAAAGCTGAAGATATCCGGGTCCTTCAATATCGAAGGTTTCGAGGAAGGTTTGGACAAGAACCAACCAATCATCACAAGCAAATATCTTCATTCCTTTCAAGCTGTGTTGATTTGCATGAGCTGAAGTTAGAAGGGAAGATGAAGATGTTACCAGCTTATCATCATTTCCCTAGGCTTGAGGAAATGTAAGTTTGAGGAAGATCCCATGCCAACACTAGAGAAACTACCCAATTTAAGGGTTCTGGAATTAGGGTATGAATCTTTCACGGGAAAGGAAATGGTTTGCTCTGACTCTGAGTCACATTTTCCTCGACTCGAATCCCTAACCTTTGATTGGCTTGAAAATTCGGAAGAG